GCGGGCGTCTGGAGTCTTTCTCCTTCAGCAGCTACATGGCATCTCTCTGGCTCTGCCTACTTAATCCCTGTTTGGATTTCCCACCTGGCTTTACTCTACTAAGCCATTGGCTGAAACAGCTTCTTTAATAACTAATGGTAATAAAACACATTCATAGCATTCAGAGGGACTCCCACATCACTATTTGTTCTTATGTCATGTTGTAACACTATTTATTGAAACAAACCCTTAGGCTATATGGCTTTATCTGAGATTTTATATCCAACATGGACCTTGCAAAGAAGTCCTTTTCTATCTGAAAAAACATATCAAGAGAAAGCCATAGTTGATACCAAACGAAGCCAGTCTCTAGTATAACCAGTTATTTCCCCTGTCTATCTAGGCCCACATACATAAAAAAGATCCTCTAGTGGTGTTGAGGCTATCATTATGAAAATTTATGTTATTTTCTCCATTATTGGATCTGGGATCATTATAAAAAACTGTATTTTTCTTTTCTTTTTTTTTGTTTTTTTTTCTTATTTTCTCTTCCATCCCCTCTGTTTTTTAGGGTCTTATATAGTCCAGGCTGGCCTCAAAATTTCTAAAAAGCCATGAAGGATGACCTTGAACTTCTGATCCTCCTGCCTCCACCTCCTAAGTTACGAAATTACAGGTGTATGCTGAGTCATGCCTCGTTTTTGCTGTGCGGGGGATCAAACCAAAGACTTGTGCATAGGAGACAAACTTTCTACCAATTAAGCTTCATCATGTTTCTAAAAATATATGTAAATATTTCAATATTTCAGTACTTTATAGCATAATTCCAAAGAAAAGGTATTATTTTAATAGAAAAAGAAATACATCAATTTCCTAGTATCTAAAACAAATTCCTTTTTTGAAAGTTTAAAATATATGCCAGGTATGGTGATGTATGCCTATAATTCTAGTACTTGGGAAAAAGGAAAGAGTTCAAGTTCAAGGCCAACATGGATGACATAGTGAGTTAAAATGAAGTCTAAGTATGACAAATCTCTCTTTCAATAAACTAATTTATTATATATGGATGCATAGGCAAAACAAACAAACAAACAAACAAAGCAGTGTTCCTGGATTCACTATTCTTACAGTGTGTTAGATTTTTATTTTACTCAAGATATTTATGATTTAAAAATTAACTATATTTTAAATAGTATGCAAAAGCTTACAATCTAATTCATTAATGCTTTTTAGTATTTATCAACACAGCAGGCACCTAAAGTCTTCTGAACCATTATGATGAATAATGGACCTTTTTACATACTAATTCTGGATTTATGGTCCCTTCTGAGTTCAGAATGAGTTTGGTAGAGGCTACAAGAACAGTCTGAGCTCCTATGTGAGCATGGTCCAAATTATGTATAGTTGTGATGCCCATGGAAGGCCTGTTCATTCTTTAGTTTTCAATTATATAATGAAATTATGGCCACATAGCATTTTTAGCTAGACTATTTAAGGTGACCTAGGATTTCAACTTGTATAACTAGTCAACTAGAAAAGATTCATAGTATACCATAGTTAATAGTCATTAAAGGGCTTTTTAGTATCCCTGCAACCCTGTGATATTTCTCTACTGTAGCTGTATGTTCCTCTTTCACACACAATCTCTTTAATCATCTATTGATCTTGTTTAGATTTTTGTGGTTTAATGTGTTATTGTCTAAAAGGTATAAGATGAAAATGAAAAGTCTGTCTCAAATGATTGATTTTATTCTTTTCTTTGCTGGCTTTTAAAGGTTTAAAGTAGGGCTTTGGAAATGGCTCAGTTGATAAAGAATCTGTCATGCAAACATGAGAATCTGAATTTTGGTCCCTGGAACAAGTCATGCTTATGTGTGTCTTTAATATTAGCCTCAGGATGAGAGAGGGGTAGAGACAGGTAGATTGGTCTCTGGCACTAATTGATCAACCAGCCTAGCCAAATCCATAAGCTGCAGATTCAATGAGAGAACTACCCCCTCCACCCTACAAAACCACAAACTCATAAAGATAGGATATAGTCAAATCATTGCCTCTTAGTAATATAACCTTTTAGCTAAAAATGTCAGTGATACACAGATTTTAATGTAATGATTTTGTGAAAAGTACCAACACAAGTCAAGTTTTTCTTGGATTTATTGATTACTGGAGTCCAGAAATTTTCTTACTCATTTTTGAATTTAGATTATTTATACTTGGCTGCCTCTAGAGCTGTTCTCATGTGCTCACATCCCTTAGCAAATCTTTAAAAATGGGGTAGATTCTCTGTTTCTCTTAAACAGTAATCAAAAATTTTCATCTAAATATTTATGTAAAATATGTACAGAATATATTTTGTAGGATAGTGACTTAGTAAAGGACTGCCATTTTAACTGAATTCATTTTTAGAGAATGTAAAAATTAAAGGGATTTTGTTAGTTTTTTTTTTAGTTGAAAGGGGCTTTTCTTGTTCTAAAGACTTGTTTGCTGTTCTATTGCTCACGGTTTTCCAATTTTTAAATTCTAAACTGACCCCCAGTTTTTAATCTCATTTAGGATTATACCTTACTATTAATACACTCAGTCTCTGACCAGTTTGGTCATAATAATTGAAATTATATATATAGGATAGAAACAGGTACCATTTTCTTCTGGTCCTGTGTTAACCAGGTCCTTGGTATAGACCGTGAGTACACTGTTTAGTTCATCTTATACACCTGTTTTTGACTGTTCGAGCAGCCTGTTCTTTATTGCTATTCATAGGATACTTTGAAAAACAGTATAGTCCTTTACTCCGGGTAGTTATTTATAGACTACGCCATGCACAATGATATTAGAATAAGTTAAACATAATTTTTTCTCTTTTAATGCACTACTTGACATCAAAAGCAAAAAGAGGTAAGTTGGTTATTAACATGTAGGCTAACAATATTTCCCTTGATAGATTTATTCCTGACTATCCTTGCCTGACTTAAATTTCCACAAAGCAATGCTTTTACATTGAGAAGCTTATCATTGTAAATCCTTTTTAAATTGGATTTTTAAATATACTATTTAAGCATATTGCTGTTCCTGTAAATTTTGATTTAGTTTGAGTCTTAGGACATTTGGAAACACTTCATCTAGTTTGGATTCCTGTTTGCCTGATAATGTGTATTACACATTATAAGAACTCCTTTCTTAATATAAGAAAAAAAAACAGAACTAAAAAAACCCCACAACAAACCAAACCAAGAAACAGCTGATATTGGGAAAGTCTTTAATTTTGAGATACATTGAATTGCGGAAATGGATGTCCAAACTTCTCAGAATGTTCTCCAGTGTTATTTTCTGCAATGATTAAAAACTGAAGAAAATTATTAAATGAGAAAATCAAACACATTTCATTGAGTGTTATCTCATGAATTTTTTCATGTGAGATCTATTTTTATAACTGAACTTTTTAGTGAATTCCTGGGTACAATTTGTTTAACTTATTTCTCTTTGTCATTAGTGATGAATTAGGACATAAAATGATGGTCTAGATTTGATGCATGTTAATTAACTTTCTTTACTAATGATTATCTGCCTTTTTATCTTGAATTAACTCTGCTAGCTTGCCTGGCTTTTGAGAAAGTTATTTCTAAACAAAGGGTGATGTGCTTAATTGGTGTGAGAATCTGGCAACACAGTGTCCTTTTACCTCTTGGTGCCACTGTAGATAATACTCTCTCTCCCTTTATCATCCATCTCGGTCATTCTCATGATTTATTCCTAAGTTGTTCAGGAGAAAAAAGGTGCAGACAATTTATTTCTCTTTTATAAGATTTGTATAAAATTAATTTTTTATAAACATTATTTTGTTTTATTGACTAACCATATGACATCATATGTGACAAGTCTCATGAAAGTTTTTGTCTAATCTATAAACAATAATTCTTCTATACTTAGCAAACAGTTTTAATACTTATCAGCCTGTGATAAGCTTGTATGCCATTGTCATTGGGAAGGCAAAACCAGATGCTTTTTAAAAGTTTGTTATTTTTGCCTGAAATTTATCAGGATTTTTGAATATTTCAACAGTTGTATAGTTTTGTCCTTTGAAGAGTTTTAATGCTTAATAACTTTTAGACTATCAAGGATATTAAGATATAATGGAGTTTACTGTGTAGAACACTGAATGTCCGGTGCTATAAATTAGCAGATTATACCCCAGAGATTGGAAATTATACTATCATTTTATCAGTGACTACTTTCAGGGAAACTAAAGTGTTTCTAGGACATGTGATATAATTGGCAGAAAGGGGTGAGATAGCCAGCTCTATGTGTTTGATTTTTTATAACATCAAATGTGGCTCACAGTTACCTCTTTTTATTAGTATTGATGTAACATTAACTCATTACTGTAAATATTTTACTGACTACAATTAGTGTTTATGTGTTTCTATCAAGTCCTATTATTTTTCCTTCTGTAATATTTCTGTCTCAAGTGTTTTCATGTTTGCCTGTTATTTCTTTTGATGTACTTGGAAGTCCTTATGACTACTTAAGTAGTGTACTTGATGTTTCTTTCTGTTAGTGCACAAATATACTATTAATAACTTTATAGATTTAGTGAGGAATAATTTAGAATTGCTGTTATTGATAAATCTTAAATTATAATTTAAAAATTATTTTCCTGATTTAAAGTCTCTTTGGTAATTAACAAAACAATTAATATTACTACATTACTTTAAGATCTTTATTAGCTAGTGTTCCCTCTTTCTTATTCCTTTTGTTAGAAACATATTTTGATGGCAGGAATGCGTGATTCATAAACTTTCTCGAATGAATCTGTCAAATATTTACAAAGTACACACAAGAAAAATTTTCACAGATCCTTTAAGGGAAATGAAGTCAGTACATTAGTAAATATTTTACATCATATTGAAAATTCCCTCTGTAAACTATTGTGGAAAAATAAGTAATTTAAGGCAGTGTCCTTTGACTAGAAGGGGATTAGACATTCTGCAAGGAAAGTTACCAACAAAGCCTCACTGGGATGAGCATTGATGGAGCGTAAAGAAGTCAGGTATTTCCTTCTAGGATGCTGAGAATGCTGTCACAAACTGGATGGCTCTGAACAGCCTGAGAAAGAAGAAATGTTTCAGGTGAACATATATAGGAGCAAAGGCTTTTGGAAATAACTTCTTTATATTATTTATTTTTTTTACCTTTCTTGTTTCACCATAGTTAGTCCCTTTACTTATTTCTTGAAGTGGAAAACCTCAGTCATGGCCAGACCTTTCTTCCCTTTGTCATGTTGTCTAATCAATGGGTTCTGGGTTACATGTTTTCACAAACATTTTTTTTTGCTTGATTTTCATAGGACTCCTGCAAGACTGTTGTTTAATGTCTCCACTTAGCGAGTAAATAAGTCTTAAAATTTGATGCTCAGAATAGTCAAATTACTTCTTTTGCCTCTTGGCTACTGATCCACAGAGCATGAAACCAAACACAGTGTCTCTAAGTATGTGGCTCTGTGCCAAAGCAAAAACAAACAAACAAAAAAACTTTAGTTTTTTATAAAAGTCACACAGAAAGTGACCAGGCATAAACTCTCTACCTTTCCACGCTTATTTCCTCACTCTAAGTAAAATTAAATCTGTCTGGATGTATTCATATTACTTGGGAGGCTGACACAGGAAAATGCCAGCTTAAGACCATCATGGGACCCTGTTTCAAAAGTTAAAATCTATTTGACTTTTTTTTATAAGGATCAGAGATCCTTGTGTGCAAGATATTTAGTTCATGTTTATGTATATAGAGCATGTTCTAAACATTTCAAGTCACTATTATGTCTCATCTTTCTTGTTTTTTTACTTTCATTTTGTGTGTTTGTTTCTTTCCTGTCAACAAAATCAGGTCCAGGTTTGCAGAAAAAAGAAAACAAAAATAGGTTGTCTCTATGCTTTGATCATTGACTGTGGAGTATCAAAAATAATTAATAACTCTATCGACTTTTATCAAGTAGCTCTCATATATCTATATCTCATATGTATTCTTGTTTTTTATACTATTATTTAATCCTCTGTTACTGAATATTGACTATCTGCTGAAATAGTCATATTATTTCGGTAGAGTGATATCTATTTGAAAATTGCAACAATATCATTCTATGATAGAAATTGTTCAGATGTATTTATTTAAGTTATTATTACAATGGTCTTAAAAATATTATGCCAGTTTAAGAAGGGCAATAGCCAAATGTCTTACCAACAGGCATGCATATTCTTTGAACCATGAACTCCTATTTCTCTTGCCTATTTTTCTATCATGTCTATTTTTGATAATATAAATTGCTATTTTTAAAACATGAAAAGAGAAGCCAGAGGTAGAGGCAGCATCTTTAATCCCAGCATTTAGGAGACTGAGACAGATGGATCATGAGTTGAGGCCTATTGGGCCACAGAGCAAGTTACTGTCTTGAAAGGAATGAGAAGAGTAGTGAAAAGAAGGGTACCTATCTTTGTTCTGCTTAAATTTTATTGCTGAAGGAAAGACACTAAAAATTCATGTGCATATACAACATAAATAAATAAGTGCCCAAAGAAAAAGAGAATGTGAAAGCAGTAAGATAAACACCTAAATGTGACAGAGAGAATGTGGAAATACAGATTTTATACAGAAGAAAGAAGCTCTTCTAATTTCAGTCCACAAACTTGAGTCTGATCTTTGGCAGATTTCAGGAAATAGACGGGTTCATCTGCTTAGTATACAGTGGTGAATGCTAAAGTCTAGTTCATTCTGAATGACTTCTGCTTGACTAAACTTCATTCTCATGCATAAAACTAGGGTAAGTGGTATAGCTGAATCTTGACAAACAACCAGCTGTTTAAAAAATTAAGGCAGATAGAGAATTAGCCATACAATCTTTTGTATTCATAATTGGTTGAAAAGAATTAAAATCACCCATCAAAATTTATGAAATCTATCTCTACCTAGCTCTGTTGCTGCCAGTATGAAATACAGATATCAAAGTCAGATTACCACATTTTTACTTGATACATAAAAATAGGATAGGGATTAGTATATTAAGTGACAGAGTTGAACACAAAAAGATTCTTTGAGTAGGAAAAGGTGAAATGCATTAGGGATAAACGTAAAACATTTAAAAGTAGGAGTTGGAGTTGTAACTCAGTGGTAGAATGCATGCTTAGCATGCACAAGGCCCTGGGTTTAAGTCCCATACGACAGATAAATTACATAAACTATTTCACTGGAATTATGAACATATGTATCCTTAATTTTATTAATAACATATATATATATACATCCATATTTCTTTGGCATTCTAAACATATATTCATAGGCGTGACTTGTTAGCACAATCTGTAAAAAAACAAAGATTGGCAAGAAATAGCAGTGGATATGGTTGCTTTAAATGTCATACAGATTTTGTTATTTTCATAGGATTTTGATAATTAAGATGAGCCAGGTAGGCTGTGCTATTTTTTCTCTTGCCATACTTGACTATATATACACCTCAGGGTTAGAAAGGTGTTTCCATACTAGACCATGTCCTCTAGAGTAGAGTGAGGGGGTTACATGAGAGAGGAGAGTGAGAAAAGTTGCACCATGTCTCATAGGAAGAGCTTGAAATATTTGGTATTGAGAACATAGATAGTTTTCACAGAAACTTGAGTGTCACTGGATTTGTTTCATGGTGCAAGAGATATATTGAAGATATATTTTTCACTAGAAGCCGGGGTGCATTAGATGTTCTACTTTGAAAACATGACATGCTATAGAAGACTGTGTGTCATTGAGACCTGCTCTGTACTTTTCACAGAGTATGTGGTAACCAAGGAAACTTCTAGAGCCTCATTCTGGCAGACAGTGTACTCACAGCTCAGATTTTACTTCTATAATCTCATATCACACCTATTGCTGTCATGTGGGCAGACGGATGAGTCAAAGCCTAGTGTCCTAACTTGTTCCACTCAGGGCACCCTCACCTATTCCATGCAGCCATCATTGGGTTTTGGGACTCCCTAAGGCACTGATTTTTAGTATACTGATGAATTTTCTAAATTGCAGTTTAAAATGTTAAAACTAGTAGAACCTTGAGAGAAAGCTATAAATCAAAACTTCTTCCTCTCTACCAGGGAAATCTGTTTTCAACCATCAAAATAAAAACAAACAAACAAGAACCAAATCTAACAGAAAATAAGAACACAAAATATTATCCCTGTTCTTGGATGCTTCATCTTCCTTTGTATTTTGATGTATTTGATTCTCTAAAAATCAGTATCTCAACTGTATGATGGTATTCTTTCACTGTATAATGCTCATGCTTTCTTGAGGTTGCTGATAGAAATTTAAGAGTAGCCAAGATCACAGTGCCTGACACATTGTAAGCAATGAGTGAGTTCCAGATGCTGTAGCTAGCATCTTCCTCCTCCTCGCCATCTCCTTACCACATTATTGTAAGTGCTCACTGAATGTGTTTGTTTTTCTCAATCAAGCAGAGATTTTATCTTCTTTGTGTTTTTGTCCCCATTGTCCAACAGTCTCCATCATAAAGTTAGTAATTTTATTACTGAATAATTGAGACTATCTTGATTAATAAATGACAACATCAGCTGTGGGTGCTCTACAAGTCACATCATTGTCATCTTTCATGCTTTAAAAATAATGAAATCCAGCTACAGTTCCCTCAAGAGTCTGTCTGGGCTAGATCATAGTCAGAGCTTGGAGATCAGGAACTGGAGCCTCAGAAGGATTTTTTTTTTCTATCTCCCAGAATACATGCTTTGCTTTGCAGAGTGTATGCTAAAATGCTGTGGTTCAGTCTGGCTTGAAGTGGGCATAATTAGAGGGGTGTGGACCCAGGGAACTCAGAGGGGAGATTTTAGAGACAGTTGAGTCAGAGAAATGTAGCTTTTAAAGTTTTATTCACATCATTACATTATGTTTGTACATTTGGAATTTGTTGTTTTTGCTCTTAAAACATGGAATATTAACAATAACCAGAGATGATGCCTATACTTATTTTTATTTACTTACTATTGTGTTTTAGACAGAATTTCATTATATAACATTGGCTGGCCTGGAACTCATTGTGTAGAACAGGCTGACCTTGAACACTGAGATCTGCTTTCCTCTGCCTCCCAAGTGCTAGGATTAAAGACATATACCACCATGCCCAGCAAAGTGACTTATTTTTAAAAGAGAATATAGGACTGGAGAGGTGGCTCAGTTGTTTCTTAATCTATTGCTCTTGGAGAGGACCTAAATTCAGTTGTACCACATGGTTTACAGTTACCTGTAACTACAGTTCCAGGGTATCTGGCACCCTCTTTGACCTGTTGCTACCAGCACTAATATGATACATATACATACATGTAGGCAAACACTCATGCACATAAAATAAAAATAAAAAATCTTTTAAAAGGAAAGAGAACATGATGTTCATTATAAATGTAAAGAGTTACCAAATCAGACAGCTTAGTAGGGGAGTGCACTGTGGTCTTGACCCTCTATTTCTAAATATTGCCAGAAAGGGTATTTTCAGTGCATGCTAAGTCATAACTGTATTGCAAAACAATTATTTCTAGTATACAGAAGATTTGAAAAAGTAAGAATTTTGATACTTTAGTTGATTCTAAGGATTGCCATTCAACAAAAGCTAAGGCTCTATTTTAGAAGTGTTTTATTTATCCCTTGCTGACAATATAAAGTGTAAAGATTACAGAATATATGTCCAGGTCATTTTCCCATCCATCATACTTACTTAATGGAGGGCAGCATGCACCTAGTTAACTTAAAAATTGAATATCTGATGGCTCAATTAAAATTCAATTAGCTATCTAAATTTGTCCAAATTATAATACAGATAAAAAAGTTTTTGGAAGAGACAAAAGGAGCAGACAGATTTTAAATATAAAAGGAATTAATTTCTAGAGACTTGAGTTTTTGTAAAAGAGAACCATTGGAGCTTGGTCAAACAACAAAAAGGGGACCCCCTCTGGTTCTGAGAGAATGGGGGAAAATCCAAGTATGATAGTCTAAATATCAGTTAATACAGATTCAGATTTCCTCATTCCTATTAATAATAAATAATTAAGCTGTAACAAAGATAATTGTGTAAAACAGACCCTTCAATAATGATACTATAGAGAACTCAAATAAAGCTTACTTTGTGTTGCTTTCTACACTGCATTAGAAAGTTTGTGTGTTTCTAATGTCTTACATAAGAACACTTTTATGAATTTTGATATTCTAAATTACCAAATTCTAATATGTTTTGTTATAACATAGAATACAGTGGTTTTAGAATAGCAAAAACTTAGATATGAGCTTTTTTTTTCCAGACAGGGTTTCTCTGTGTAACAGCTCTGGCTGACCTTGAACTTGCTCTTGTACATCAGGCTGGCCTTGAACTCACAAAGATCCACCTGTCTCTGCCTCTTTAGTGCTGGGATTAAAAGCAGGCACCATCACGCCCTACTTAGATATGAGCTTTTAAACATAAATCTCAGTAGAGTTTTAACTAATCCCTGTAAATCCAGAATTTGAGGTGACTTGGCTTTAATATTTTCTACATGTCTAAACTGTTCACCAAAGAAAATGCTTCAAGAATAATTTTGAAGTCCAACTCTCATTTTTGCTTTTTTTCAGTTTTTTTGCAAAAATATTATGCATGCATTTTCAACTAGCCTTTTGCATTATTTCTAATATTGTGAATCCAGTGCCAGAAAGCAGACTGATTTTTGATGGTTTAGATTCCTATTTTCTTGGAGTTTATGATTAACACATTAACAACTTATAACATGTAGTTAATCTAGTATGAATTATAGTATGTGGCTTTAAAGTAACAAAAACAAAACAAAGTGAGTACCATTAATAAGGTTGTTTTCCTTCATCAGTCCATGTTACTAAAATTTTCTTATATAGTGAACCACCTAAGACTTCTGCTAACAATTATTTTCAATGCAATCAAGTTTCAGAAAACCGTAAAGATAATTTTCTTGGTCAATATCCTGTTAATAAAGTATTGTTTGACTTTCTCAAAATATCTGTGAGTTTAACAATATTTCTATATGCCCTGACAGTAAAATCTGTTACCTGAATATATTCCATATTTGAACAGCAGATCTATGTGCTGATCAAGTAATCAGCATCATGTTCAAGTTCACAAGCTGAAGTTTTTTTATATTGATTGACTCTTTGACTTTAGAGGCATCAAATCATCAAGTATGAGTGAACACAGGGCATAGTACTTTTAAAATCTTACTACTAATTTTATGTCATTAGTTCTTTTCTAATATTTTATTTAATTAAGGAAAAATCTGTCTCTTCTATTGACATTAGTCAAGGAAAACCCATACCCAAAGAAAACATACTTAACCTAGATGTTTCTAAGTGCACATTCCTCACTAAATCTCAGGCAACTATTTTAGTTACTGTTGCTAACACCTGTATGTCATCTCTTTGTATACATGTCTAATTTATTAGTTTCTTGTAGATTGTCAGCAGCCTGCTGCCTCCGTACCGCCACAGTGCTCACAACTAGCTGGGAGGCAAGACTACCCAACTGTCAGGTAAATTCTCAGGTCCTTCCTTTTCCCACCAGCTGCATGTCAGCTCCCCTTCCCAAGGCCATAGCTACTTATGCATCTTTATGTTATTGCATGTTTTTTCATGAATTGACATGACTATACCCTTGTTACTTGAAGTCCATATTACCTATGAGCATGCACAGGAGTTAGTGCTATGTCATCAACCACTAGCTGGTAGAATAAAGGCTGCTTCATTTCCTCCTTGTGAGCAAATATGTGGGTTATTCCAGTACTTCATTGCCTCCAATCTCAAACCTGTAATTGTTAAGCTTTTATCTTTTTGTCCTTCAAATATACATCTCAGACAAACAAACAGTGAAAATGTATGCAATTATATATGAAAAATATCGAATGTCCATTCTAGGACACTTTATAAAAGGATTTCTATTTTCTGTCTACTTAGTCCCATTGTTAAAACTGAACTGAAAAGATAAAGAATGCTGTTTGTGATAGTACATACCTGTAACCCAAAGACTTTGTAGGCTGTGTTAAAAGGCTTAGTTTGAGATCAGCATAAGATATATATTGAATTCAATGCCAGCTTGTGATACAGAATAACACTGTCTCCAAAATCTATAAAAGAAAGGAAGGGGAAAGAGGAGAGAAAAATTCAAATCTGAATTCCAAAAAAAATATGCAGTGATTATTTTTCCTTTCTCTGAAATGAAGTGTTTCAAAGTCATGTTTGTAGACAGACACTGAACTGGAGAGTTTACTGACAATTCATATTCCAGTTTAAAGTACTCCAAGACAGTTACTAGTTACCTCTCTCCTGAGTGACTCCCCACAGCCCAGCAGCATCTCATCATAACCTCCTCATCTCCATAGTGTCCTTCATCCTCACTTCTGTTGGACTAAACTTTTGAATCAGAAGTCTATTTATTTATTTTAGAGCCTGCTTATTAATATACATAATGTATCTCGTGTTCTCCTACCAGAAGGCTTGTATGTATCAAACAAGGACCAGCCCAAACATAGGTCCATGTGTGTGTCTGAGATAAGCAGCTGTCAGTAGCAGACATGCATGGTCATACCTTAGGGTAATTGGGTAATGACCAATCCAAAGCTAGTATGTGATGTGGTTTATTGCCTAGGTAAGTGTAACATTGCCCCCACTATTGTGGATTGAACCTAGGGTCTCACATGTGCTATGCTAAGAGCTCTACCAGCCCCCAAAGTACATTGTCAAGTAGTAACTAGACAGTGTCTTCTGATTGATCTCTCTTAGAGAAGACTGATCATACATTTATCTCAGAAATGTTCCGTATTTTTTTTAGATTTATTTAGTTTATTTTATGTGTGAATGTTTTCCTTGCATGTATGTATGTGCACCACATACATGTTTGGTGTTTGGAGAGAAGATGGCATTGGGTCTCCTGGAAGTAGAGTTACAGATTGCTGTGAATCACTATGTGGGTGCTGGGTATTGAGCCCAGGTCCTCTGCAAGAATAACATGGTCTTAATTATTGAACCATCTCTCCAGCTCTTCATGATAAACAACAGTTTACTAATGTATTGATGACATTTATAACAATAGCCAATTTTGGATAATTTCAATTATGTAAGTAACTGAATATTAGTATAAATATTAGTATAAATGTTCAAGTTGATCTGAGAGGGATTCTATAGTATAGTAATTGGGAACATGAGGTCTAAGCCTATTATAGTGTACACTCTTCAAAGCAACCTCCTTTATTTGGGGCTCCAGGGTAGTGTCGACACAGTACAGATGCTCCATAAATGTTGACTACATGAGTGAGTGGATGAGCTTCAGAGTCAAACTTTTGGCTTGTAATCCTATCTCTTACAAGCCTGCATGTATAATTTGAAAAGCTGTTTCTGTTGCTATATATTTTCTTTACTTATGAGGTAAGGATGAAAACAGACATTGGGAAAAGTCAGTGATAAAGGGCCTGGCATGTCTGTCCAGTCTGCTGTTAGAATTCACACTTCTGTACACTACCATCCCTGACCAAAATCTTATTTGTTTTGTGACCAATTCAGTTAGCTTGAGAAGAGTTGGAATATTATTGCTTTAATAATTTCTATGAGACAGGAATGCAAATATATTCATTCTCTTCTGAGGTTACTGAATGTTGGTGCTTCTTGTCTGTGGGGGTGATTTATGGAAAGAAAAGCAACGTAGTGAGTTGCAGACGTTCCTAGTTTCTATTCAAATAGATGTAGCATGTCTAGAACAGACTTCTCTTCCTCACTATAGTACACACAGAGAAATGATTACTATATAGAGATTTGGAAGGATACCCCCCGCCCCTTCAGAGTGACTTCTGCTACAAGAGGATATGAGTCAGTCCCACACTGCCATCTTACTCTTTCTGGGCAGAAAAGGCGACACACAACCAACATTAGAACTCATACTGAGTTCTTCGTGTTTGTTAGTTTGATTCCCCACAGGTTAAGCAGTTATTATACTCTTCTAAATGGGAAAAATCAGGGTTAGTCAGACAGAACAACTGAGCCAAGTGATTTAACATCCATCCCTGTCCACCATGGAACATAGCTGCACCTCAGATAAGGAATCAGTCATATTCCTGTAGTTGACAGAACAAAGAAAGCTTGTTTAAGTCACCTATGCTGGCTCAGTTTCTGTGAATTGAAAAGTGGATATTCAGTGAAACATGGGAAAAATTTCTAAGGAATGTTGAGTGATTTCTAATCAGGTATTCTCTTTGTTTCTCAATTTGAAAAACAAAATTTTATTTTTTACTTCTCTCCAGTTTATGTGTATATATATACTCATATAACTGTAACCTTTTTTTAAGTTCTGGGGGGCCAAATTCAGGGCTGGGCACATGTTCTGCTCATGTAACATTTAAGGTATATGATTTCTTTATGATTTCTTTTTTAATTTTTATGATTTCTTAATAAAGTGTTCTTACACTGAAAATGTAGAACTTTTCCATATATAGTTTCTTTGTTTTGTTTTGAGAAATAGTCTTGCTATGTTGTCTAGGTTTATCCTGAATTCCATGAACTCCTGGGCTTCAAGTGATCCTCTTGTCCCAGCTTCCCAAAAAGCTTTAATTGCAGGTTTATGCCACCATGCCCAACATCTATATACTTTGTGTTTTGGTATTAATTAAAGTTTTTATTTGGAGTCTCATCCACAATCTATATAAGTCATGAAAATGGAAAACACCTCAAAATAATATTTAAATATAAGGTAAGAACACAGTATGTTATGTTTCAATAAATATAATTCAATTTTTGAACTATTTGCAGGCTGATTCTATTCTAAGTTATTAAAAATGATATCTGTAATGATGCAATGGGGAATGATGTTATAGCCTTGGACATAATATTTAAATATATAAAAATGTGCAATATTTATCATGTCTTCACATCTACTAAGTTGTGTTTACCTTGAAAAAATGAAGAAAAATAATAACCTTTTTGAATATATGCCAAACTTCCTGAAGATATGTCCAATTTAATACCTTAAAAGTCTTAATAATGAGTTGTTGGGCTTTCTGTTACCATGTTCTTCCAGTGAAAACTTATTTATGGTAAAGGTTGAATAACAAGTAGTCTTCTAAAGATATTTAGCCATCAAAATGGAAACTGAATTCATGGTATTCCCTAAGTAATAATATGTCAAATGTTTATGTTAAAATATTTTAACTTTTCATTTAATAATGTTTTCTATAGGTTAGTATATATATATATATATATATATATATATGTTAGTAACACATGATGCTACTATGTTTTATGCAAGCTTAAAATACTGATACTAGCTTTCACTTTATAATAAATTTGAAATAGGAATAAAGTCATCATGAATGACACATCAAGATGTTGGGCCAACTGAACTATCACCCCTGCTTGGGCTCTGTTTTCCTTTGCTAGCCATGCAAAAACATTCTAGGAAGAAGAGTACTGTATCCTACAAGGTCTTCCTACATAACATGATTACCATAATACTACTTGCTATAACTTATGCTGTACTTCAAGGTTAATTTCATAGAAAGAAATTATTTCTAACTTACAAAAGACCACAAGGTCTGAGGAAAGTCTCTGATTTATTTTTAATCTGTTATTTCCTTAACCATTGACTACTGGGAAGCTTAAGGATAACCTTACCCAGCATTGACTTTTTTCCTTATATCATTAACTGATTAACCATACACTACCTTCTTGGATCTTGTTCCACCATTTTGTATTTGCTGCATTTGATACACATGGGCTAGAGCTTTGGCTTAATCATAGACTGTTTTCCTAAACTGTATGAGGTCTTGTGTTCCTTCCCAAGCATCATCAAAAAGAAAAAAAAATAGGAAAAATTGTAGTGGTATATTATTTGTATTTTTGATAAATAAATTTTGCCTGAAGACCAGAGGCAAAGCTAAAGCCACTAGAGGTCAGGCAATGGTGACCTGCACCTTTAATCCCAGGATTTGGGAGACAGTCAGATGGATCTCTGTGAGTTCAAGGTCACCCTGGGCTACACAAGATCACTGCAGAAACAAATCCAGGTGGTGGTGGCCTACTCCTTTAATCCCAGTATTAGGGAGTCATACACCCTTAATTCCAGCACTAAAAGGAATATCAAATGAGAGAGAGAGAGAGAGGCTTTGTCTCTTTCGTCTGTGGTCACCCAGCCTTGGTAGGGGTAAGATTTTTCTAGTGGTTGGCTGCTTTGTTTTTCTGGTTTTCGCTTTGAACCCCAATTTCAGTCTCTGGATTTTTATTATTTGTGCTATACAAACTGATTTGTACCATTGGTCATCATAATCAGTATAGGACATCAGTTTCCTTTTAAACTAAATTTACATTGGTTCAAAGAGTTCAGGAAGGAAGTAACTTCTCACTAAATGTTTCCTAATTATGATTTTATATGAATGTTCAACAGATCATCTGATTGACAATTTCAATATCAAAGCTTCAAAATATTTGTTTAATCCAATTTTAATTAATCCATCAATAATATTGTTTTAAAAATTATTTAATCAAATAAATAATAAACTTTGGATAATTATGACCAACACTCCCAATAGAAATGAGTTATGATACTAAAATTCATAATATATGGGGAAGTAGAACTTGTTTTCTAATTTTAAAAAATCCCCATGGTGCCCTCTCTCTGTTGATAGTTACATTTTAAAAAATATCCACCCAAATGTATTTTGTAGTTTTACCCTTGGGAACCTAATGGTTTTACTACTTTATTCTTCAAGATTATTCAACAAGACATTAAGGAGTCTGAGATCAGGTTCATTACAGCTGGAGGCTCTCAGAGATGGCTTGTCGGTTGAAGACCCCATCGTTCACTTAACAAATGTAAAATGTCATAAAAGTCATCAGGTTTTTTTTTCAGACCACCAAACCAAAGTTGAAGAACCCTAAGAACAACTTAAGCTTCACAATCAAATTGATTGTCTTTTGGAGTCTCTATAGTTAACTCTAGATACTTATAAATGTTAGTATTTAGTATCTTTGTCCTTTGGCTAGCACCATCTGAACCACAGAAAGCACATTGCAAATACAGACTCCAGAGTCCGTTACTGGCCCTGGCCCTACTAACTCAGTGTCTCCTTTACCAAGATCTTTGGGTGACTTGTACCTATAATAAAGTTAGAAAGGGACTGATCTAGTGACACTTTATTGCCACCTAGAGATCTTGTAGTTGGAGACTGTGCAAAAATTGAATACGTGAGTTGGGGGACAAGTTCATGTATCAGTTTCTAAAGTTTCTCTTTACATTTTTACTTTTCTCTCTTTTCTTTTTTTTCATGCTTTGCTTTAAAACATGAATTTTTCTTGGCATGCTTTGAATTTAAACAATTTTCTTCACAAAATTTTTGTTCATGTGTTTAAATATATAGTGCAGTAATTTGTCTGACCACCATAGTACATGTGGTTGTTTACCAGTATGTTTTTGCTAACTGCCTTTTTTCTCATTTTCAGTCTGGACATTGCCCTCCCTGAGGAGCAGCC